TTTTTTTATACATTTTGCTTCTACATATATTTTTTAATATTGATCTGGTAAATTTTCCAATCAAAACAATATTAAATTTTAGCTTGCTTTGTTTTTTAACAAACAAAATAATCAAAAAATATAATGCTACTAAAGCAATAAAAAATATTCTCAATCTCAAAGCGACGAAACGTATTGGAATTTAATGAAGAACCCGCTCCGACCGGCACGACGTCATAGCAACTGTTAAAAAAATAAATATCACTTGCAATTGCTGTTGGTAAAAGAGCTAAGAACAAGAAAGTAATGGAAATTTTCACGCCTTCAGTTTGTAATTAAATATATATGGAATCAAATCGTAAAACTGAAAAACTGAATGATTGCATACAGACCTACATACATACATACTTACAAATCATACCCAGAGTCGTGACGCACCTTTACCCGACGCACTCCACAAAGGAAGCCGTTAAATTGCTGCCTAAACAATGGAATAATTTCAAGAAAAGGAAGAAACATTTTCTAGAAAAGGAAAATAAGCAAAAAAAATGTAAAATTAGACATAAAATTTGCATTAGATAAAGAAGAAAAGCTCAACACACCAACTGTCATAACATCAATACTTCATGAAAAATCATAACAAACAGAAATTGGCAAACATTATACCCACAGTCAATGCTGAAACAGCGATTGATTRGCTGCAATAAAATCTGCAAAATTTCCGCACATAAATTAATTTAAATTTACAACATTTGGAAACGAGAAATGTGTATAAGATTTACTTTTTTATTGCATTTGCTATTTTCTTTTCTTTTAATGTTTATATTTTTAAATCAAACGTCAAGCATAATGAGCATAAAATTTKCTCATTTATATGTATTTCCATTTTACAACAGTAATTGGCTGAAAGTAYGTAAACTGTTAATGCTGCGCGCAAATATTTATGACTCAACGCGCTTACGTGCTCTTACGTTTTTCTGATTTTTATTCTGATAATTGTTAGAGATCGTCATGAAAAGTATTTATTGTGGCCTTAAACGATTAGAAGTCAAATTGTATACTTTTTTTTTTTTTGAGTTTTCTGTTCCTATAAACCCCGAGAATTAATGTAGAAACCCACTTTACCATTAGATGGTTTCGAAAAAGGCCCAAAAAGGAGTGCACACCTCAAACTTTAATCGCGTTTTTCTCAAAACACACTTTTTTAAACTGGCGGACATAATTCGGGTCGAACTACTCAACCGATTTGCTTATTTTTCTTAATATTCACAAAACGAATGGATATCCAAAATGATCCAAATATGAGAAATCGTGTCCACCAGTGAAAAAACGCATCTCATTCACCCAGCCATTTTTCCCACAGATGTCATCAAAAAATTCCGAAAAAATTCGTTTACTAAAAAGTTCTACTGTATCCGTAGAATAAATATTTCTCTGAAAAAAAAAAATGTCAAAAAACATGCCAGATTACCCTACTGACCCCTTAAATTATATAACACTAAGGCCGTGATTTTTTCTTGTTTAAGATAACCTGTTAAAAATGATAATAATTTGGTACCTTAGATTGTTTCGAAATGACTTCCAAGTATTTTTTCTTTCTTTCATTTACATAGTTAGCTTACTCAAATTTTTATTAATACTTTTGATTTTTTGATTCATATCAATATCATTAAATCCTATTAGCTACAAGATAAAATATTTCTTTAAAAGAATTCATTAGCGATCTAGTCAGACTTAAAAACAATAGATGTATCAGACCCTAATTCTATGAATATGACCAAACCATGTTATTAYTCTTTTATAAAGAAACTAAATTAAAACTTTCTATCAATTGTTTTTACTCATATTTTCATGCTGCAATAATACAAAGCACTTGCATTTATTTAGCTCTCCTTGAAAACTTTTTAGCTCTATGTCGGTCCACCATACATAAAATTCCCATCTGCCAAAAATATCCAGCAAATTTTGTTTATAAATATCCTCTTCTCTCTCGCCGCCTCTTTTAGCCAGTATTATTATCAACTTGCTTATATTTACATGCAATTGTAATTATATAAGTATTTGTATGAGTATTTACAATTAKACTTGAAACTACTTAGCAAATAAGTTGCCAAAAACGCAGCCAATTGAAGAGTGCTTTGGCAAACCAAGCTTTTGTTTGGCGCATTGTGTTGCAAAGAATGTGAAAATTTCATAAGAGTGACATAAATGCGCTTTTTATTGAGCTCCTTACACAAGAAGTAAAACAAATATTCCATGGAAGAGTGCGATAATGAGCAAAATGTTAGCGAGATTTCAAATACCCGGTAGAGGAAGTAATAGAAGTAAAAGATAGCAAAAGCATTGGTGTATAGAAATTATGAAGCTGCGGAAAGAAATATCAGTATTAAAATAAAAAAATTTTACAGCAAAAAATATTTTTAAAAGAATTCGTGTAATTTATTTTTATTAAAAGTCTGTATTTCCATAATAATTTTGACTTACAAATTGCTTTATTTTAGAAAATTAAAATTTCTTTGCTCAATGGCAATATCAATTTTTCAATTATATTTTTTGGAACTAGTTGCTCACAGACTACTTTGGCRTTGCCTAGCCAACAATACAAAATTCTAGTGCTTCCTCTGTGGCGCAATAAATGCGCAAGTTTTGCAACGCGCTCGAATAACATCTAACTGCTCAACTAAGTGGCATTGAAATGTTTGCAAAAGTTTTTGAAAACTTGGCCAAAAGTTGCACACAAAGTTTGCTGCTAGAATAGATTACATACATACTTACATTTATCTTCAAACATATGTACARTTATACCGTTGTTTTTGCAGCTGATTTTTACAAGTTTTCAGTGCAAAATTTTCTGCAGAATTAATTTGTTATTTTTGTTTTTTTTTCTGTTCTTTGTTGCATTGCGAATTAAAATGCAACGGAGCGTAGGTGTGATTGTATTGGTATAACGAGTATGAACGCTTCAGCAATTTCTCATTCTTGCCACTTCGTTCGAGAATTGTGATTCAGACTCTGGTTTTACAAACCAGCTGGCACTGAATATAGCAGAGCCTATAAATAAATGGTTTAGTTTTTAGTGACTTCATATAAGAACCTGAAACTCTAATATCAATGAGTGTAATCTCTAAGTAACATATTCCTACTGTTTGTCATTATTTGAAGTTTTATTATTTATTTCAATTTGAAGACAAGATATCAGACAAATCTAGAATCAATATCTGAATATTTTGAAGAGGTTGAAGAGCTTTAAGATTTCTCTCAACAAAGCAATTTCTCTAACGAGTTGAATCAATATCTACAAGAAATGCTTTTATGAACTTAGAGTAAGTTTTGAAAGAAAATACCCCTCTATTTGATCCAGCTGTAACGAATTCCCCTAAGAACTGTCAAATTACAAACCTAAATGTGTAATATAGAATAAAGAACAACAATAAATAATTTTATAACTGAATATATACATATTTTGAAGATTAAGAACTCTCTCTAACGAAAGCTTCTGCAAACGGCGTCAATATTTTGGAAGCAAAGTGCGCATTTCGAGAATGGTCATGGTCAAGTGTTCCTACCACTCTAACAAATTCTTTTCCGAATCAAATAAATATTTTGGAGTCAATATTTTTTTCTCGACATTTTGACATTTTTTTAAATCGCTGAAAATGAAATGCTTAGTACGCTATTTGGGATCTGGTCTTATGTTCCAATCTTTCTAACGAATTCTGCGCCAAACCAAGAACCTATTTTGAAAGCACGATTTTTTTACCGCAAGCCTGAAAAACAATCCTATATTGAAGTTGTTTAATAATAACCTAATACATTTTCAAAATCTTTAGAATCAAACTCTTAGAAAAAAGATAATAAATATTAAAAATCAAAAATATTAATGCCGTCCTACTTAAAAATAGAGCTTTAGTACTATCTAACGCACTTAAAAAGAAAAATTCCGGACTTTCAAACACCTTCAGTGTTTTTAATACTGTAAGCAAACCTCCAGCTATCATACTTGACCCAGTTCGGCTATCAATACACCTTGTAACTTCTTTGAAAGTTGTGCAAACAGCTTAATTCGTGGCACAATGACCAGGTCATTGCCTAAATCACCTTCGACGTCTAGCGAAAAGCACGATTTGCAATTTAAATACGTCTTAGCAGTACGAAAACGCACATACCATCTAACATATTTAAATAAATGTAAGCTATTTTCCTCACCTTTCTGCTGTTTGCTTAACAAATGCATAGTTAAACGACGCAAATGTGCGAAACTCTTTAAGCATTTTTTTTTTTTTTTTTTTTTTTTTTTTTTTTTTTTTTTTTTTTTTTTTTTTTTTTTTTTTTTTTTTTTTTTTTTTTTTTTTTTGTGTTAAACAAACAAGGTTGCATAGACAAAGGATGTGCTAGATCGCGCGGTCTGCATTTGCATCAAATTGCACCGAAGCACGCAATTTAAGCAGTCAGCGAYCAGCAGTAACTTTTTCCCAACTTAACTCCTCATTCTTTGTATTTCAACACTTGTGATTAGTTGGACAATTACATACAAGTAACTATGTAGTGGTTGTAGTGGGTCCTTGCTGCCGGCCATTGTRGGCAGTGCGTGTGCATTTAGTCAGATGGTTATCTACGTTGTTAGCTGTTTTCCTGTAGAATGTGTAGCGATTTCAACGTTAGTTTCAATGTTCAATGCTTTACCTGTTTTGCTTTGAGAAATGGGTTGATGGCACGCAAATACAATGTGCTGGAATTCACTCTGAGGTCAATCGTGAAGGAAAGAACTTGAAAGCAGTATAAACGTGTACTTGTTGGCTCTTTGTAGAAAGTATTTTTTTTTATTTTCCCATCTTTAAAATGCATACAATATAAGAATCAAAGCAATATTAAATTGCATTAGTGGCGTATTAGTTACAAAATCTTTCCTAAAATCTAGAGATTTTGACTCAAATACAGGAAACTAATAATCATTACGCGCATGCCACCTACTTTACACCCTCTGTTACTACTTAGGGGTGCAATTTAGCAAATTCAGCTATATTCTTAGCTAATTGAATGGCAAATAACCTAGAGTGGGCACATCAAATGGAATGAAATGAAAATTCTACTTAAGTTAATTGAACTTTTTTGTGGTTAATTGAGTTACAATTAAGAATTTGATTATCATAATTACTCATAAATGCTAAAAATAAGTTAATATCATGCAGCTTTGAATTGGCAATTTTACACATATAGTATAAACTGTATGGCTAATTTAGAAAACATAAAACTTTAATTTGAAATTTCACACAATTAGTAAATTTAGAGAAAATATAAAACTTTAATATTTATTTGAATTAAATTGAGTGCCAAAGTAAATATCAAAATTATATACGATTGCATCATAAAGTCAAAAAATTTGTTAATTGAACGTTAATTTAGTTGCAATTAAAGTTTTTTTAAAAAATAAATAAATAAAAATCGAATCGAAAAATAAAAACAGGAAACAGTATTGCTGGCGGAACACTACTCAATCAGTGTATTAAGCTTTCCTAATTAAGATTAAGTTAAGAATTGCCTCAGCCTCGCATAATTAACAAAATAGAATACCAAAATAACTAATAAAAATAACTTTTGTKCTTAATTTAGTTACAATTGAAGTTTTATTAGTTAATTATACGAACACATTTTCGTAATTAACTAAATTGAATACAAAGCAGTAAAAAAATCTACAGGGTTGAAAGGCAATCCCAGCCCGTGTTTAATTTAGTTGCAATTAAGGTTAAGTAAATTAATTGTCTCAATTATTTTCATAAATGGGAAAATTAAATTCCAACAATTAACAAAATTGAGCAAGGTTGCATAAGAAATTCTAAAAAGTTTGTTAATTTAGCCTTTTTTTTTTTTTTGTTAACTTAGTTACAATAGAAATTTTCTTAGTGAATTTTGCGAGCACATTTTCGTAATTAACTAAATTAATGACCACAACAATAAAATATTACACAGGGTTGAAAGGCATATTCTACCCAGTTAGTTTATTAAAATTTCCTATGGTTAATTTAGTTGAAAATTAAGAAGTGAAGAAGAAGTTGAAAAATAAGGTTAAGTTAATTAATTGTCTCAATTACTTTCATAAATGGGAAAATTAAATTCGAACAATTAACAAAATTGTGCAAGGTTGCATAAGAAATTCTAAAAAGTTTGTTAATTTAGCTTTTTTTTTTTAATTAATCACCATAACAATAAAAAATTAGAGCATTTGTATTGTAACTTTGATTTCAACTCTGTGATTTATGCACTTACCTAATTAAATGCCAATAAGTTAAAAAATTAAATAGGGTTGCAGGGGGAATTGTATGGCGTTGAAAGGTACACAAAAAAGCCTTAGGTCGAAGTGCAATCCTCATTTATTTATCTAATCTATGGTTAATTTAGTTGCAATTAAAGTATACTCAATTAATTGTCTGCTCTAATTTTCATTATTGACTGAAGAAATATGTCTAATAATTACATTATTGAGTCTGAAAATAATATACAAAGAGTTAATAATACAACTTATCTTTACTTTTTTCACAACTTCCTCTTACAGTTATGGCTCACCACATCACAGCCGTTCACAATCGGTAAAAACACCAGGAAGTCGTGCGTCCGGACGTCCCAATCAGTTATGCTTGCCACAACAGCGTTCACGGTAAGTTTGCCCCACCTTCACAAGAACATATTTTAATGACAGCATCAATGCAAAATATGCGTCGTTAATTTCAGCAGCTTATTTGAACTCATGCTTCATAAAACTCCTTTACTTTATAGCGTCGCTTCAATGCCAAATACTGGCGTCGAGGAGGAGTACTATAGACCATAAAACTCCTTTACTTTATAGCGTCGCTTCAATGCCAAATACTGGCGTCGAGGAGGAGTACTATAGACTGAGGCATTTTTCCATTACCGGCAAAGGTGTAGTGAATCGCGGTGATTCGCTCAAGAGTCGACGTAGTCGTTCCAACAACAGCGTAGCCAGCTCCAATTCGAGGTGAGTAGCCGCGAAAATAGGACACAGGATCTGGCAAAAAAACTGCTTTGAGTCTGCTGTCCTATACGCTGCAAGTGACACTTTGACAATATCATAAATATGATATTAGAATAAGGGTATAAAATACCTAAGATTAGGTCGAAACTAATTGCAATAAATCGCTTCATATTCAATTGTAAATATAAGGTAGCTAGATTGATTTTTTAACATATTTTTAGCGTAGCCATCCTCAGTACATAACTTTTTATGGCTCATCTTGTAAACATTGCCAATTTAATATATTTGTTTTTGATTTTCTTTTTACGCTTGTGTTCAACTGTTGCTGTGTGTCGTCGTTGTCTTTTTCTTCCATTTTTTGTTTTGACGATTGGACTTGTTTTCACACAGCACGGAGCACTTGACTGCCGCCCAAATACCAGCACCGAATTCGGCACGCACATCCGCCACCTGCAGCTTGGCGTCCAGCCGTGAGAGCAGCACTTCAAATCCAGGCAGTGGTCCATACAGGTGAGTGTTTCTTATTAAATTATATGTATATCGTGGTTTTTTGTTTTTGTTGTACTACAATTGCTTATAGCTTAAGCCAATTTAGATGTTTGTAAATTGRGGGCGGCGAAATAAATTGAGATTCAGTTAGATTTTGTGGGATTTGTATTAATGGATATTAKAGACAGGCATTAGTTGGACACTTGCGAATCTGGATTACATACAAATCTATGTTTAAGTGTTTGTATTTGAAGCGGTCGCTAGAATTTGGTGATAGAATAAATAAAAATAATTAATTAGATATCTTAAAATTTGTGAAGCTCAGTTTTACTAAACACCTAATTTTGAGAAAGTAATCGGTTTTCTCACTTTCAAGCTTAAATATTTTTATAGAAAATGYCGGCTAAGGGGGCAAAATTTTGACAAAGTAAGCGGTTTTCTCTCATTCGGTCCTAATAATAATTTTCACAAGACCAAACTTTGGTATCAACTTTTTCAACATAACCTTAAAAAAATTATTTTTTTTTTTTTCATTTTCCATTTGAGTCATGTTTCTAGTATATCACACAATGTGCTTTAACCAAAAAAAAAGCGAAAATGTAGGATTTTTAGAAATCCCAGACTCACCTAAGCGCATAAACTTGCTATATTCTTAAAACATTATTTTACTTATATTCTTTAATATAAGTACTCGAATCAAATGTCTAGATATTATCTGCTCTTATTTATTACTTTCCCACCATTAATTTCACATAAAAATATAAATACTCATTTACATAATGCATTTTATTACTTTTTCCTTCCATGCAGAGTCCTCATGCTCGGCGGACCGGCAGTTGGTAAAAGCTCGTTGGTCTCACAGTTTATGACCTCGGAGTATTTGCATGCCTACGACACAAGTATTGGTGAGTAGCTCAAACACAAGAGCATTTATAACTGTAATACAATTACATAGACAAATTTCATACGGAACACCCAACTAAATATTAATTTTTCAAAAAATAAACAATAAATCAAAATTGCATACCCCCCACCTACTACCCGTTTAAGTGTACCCATCCACCCATCCACTTATATGTTGTTATCTTATGTACGCGCCAGTAACAGTAAAATAATATATTATATGCGTATGTTTCTCTTGAGTTCAACACAAATTGCTGATTTAATTAAATTTCACTTCGTTTGCTTAATTTTAGTTRCAATTGTCATAATTATTATAATTAATTAAAAGTAGTTGCTATGTCGCTGTTGTTGTCTGTCCGTTTGCACCATTTGTGTCTGTCTTCGCATTGATTGATTTATAATTTCAACTCTGCTATGTGTCTGATTCGTGTGTGTGTGTGTATTTGTGTGTGCGTTCGATTCCACATATTTGTTGGCAGTGTTGCCAAATATCGCTCAGCATGTACAAGAGAATTGAAGTAATAGAGAGTCCTTTGCAGCTGGAAGTACCATTTCATAGCCTGTTTTATTATGCTCTCGCATACTTACATACAGTTATAATAACCCTGCAGTAACATGTAGTAGTCCTAAAATATTATACTATGTAACTAGTAAGAACTAKAATAAGAATTAATAATAATTTTTCATACAAACATTTTTTTAACAGGATCAGGATTCGATTAGCCTCAAACTGGCGCAAAATATACAGGAAAACTGATTTAATTACATGAAAAATAAATACAATTATAAATGTTTTAGAAAATAAAATGTTATATTAATGTATAATATATGTATATCTTCATAATACATAATTAGCGGCTATAGTTTCATAGGTTTACTTGCGTTAAATGTTTGATTGTTTTTAAAAGATAGTTTCACAATTATATCAATAGTGAGCATTTTCAAACTGGACGTATATTGGTTCAATATTATATTTTTTAACTAGTATTCTTCGGATTAGATCGATTTTGATCTGGATTGTAAAGGTATAACAGGTTTTTTACAAAGTTTCACTGCAGTGTTCATTTCGACACTAGTTTTGCTCTAGTACTTTTTCGGACCAGTCCGATTTTGTTCTGGTTTGTTTGATTTTAAAAATTTTTCTAACAAGTTTCACTGTAGTTACGATTTTGACTCTATTACAACTAGTGTTAAGCTATACTGTTTCGGTTTAGTCGTATTTTGACCCGGTTTTGTATGCTATAACAGTTTTTTCTAACAAAATTTTATTACAGTRAGCATTTTGACTACGGSTATAACCGCGTAAGCGATATCTTATCCAGTAAAGAATAAGAGCGTTTCGGCTCTATTAAAACTAGTTTTAAACTAGTATTTTTTCAGACCAGTACGAGCTTTGTCTGGATTTCAGAGTTTAAACAGTGTTTCTAACTAGTCTCACAGCAGTGATGATTTCAAAACTACAGCAACTAGTTTTGAACTAGAATTTTTTAGGAGCAGTACGATTTTGATAAGTTTTTTTTTTTTTGTGTTTCAAAAGATTTGTTAAACAGTTTCACTGTAGTGATGATTTCACCAATATTAAAAATACTTTTAAACCAGTTCCTTTTCGGACCAGTCCRATTGTAATCTGATTTTTTAAATTTTAAAAGCTTTCCTAACCAGTGTCGCTGAAGTTCCGATTTTGAAATTTACAWTCTGACATCTCATCTCATGCCATGGTCCCTTTTTAGTATGTCTGTAAGCAGTACAAATTTATCGCTTGTTCGACTTTTCCTGCATTCATTAAAGTTTCATTTTGTTTTTTTTTTTTATTTTTTGCAGAGGTAAAAATTAATTGCGTTTTTTATGGTTGCATTTTTGAGTTTTATAGCTTTTCTCACATTGCAAATTTTACTATTTTAATTAATTGTTTTACCTTTTTCTCGCATTCACAATGTCATTTTTATTTCAAAATTATTTTCATATTTGATGGTATTATAGCTTTACTTGCAATAACGCTGCTGGCAGTTCATATTGGAAATAGTGCATTTAAATCTTTCCATAAACAAAATTCCAAGTCATATAAATAAGAAGTCCTCGTATCGTGACAAAYGGCTTATTAAACCTTTAAAAATATTAAATTTTGCATCAAGCATTCAAGGGAACACATAGTGCGGAATTTCAAAAAA